CTACCGCTTATATTCATTATTTTCGGTGTAATTGGTTTTATTGGTAATGCATTTACATTTCTTCAACCAACACTTCGATTTAATACTTGTTGCATTTATTTACTTTGTGGTTCATTAGTCGATATTATTAATCTTTTTGTTAATCTTTTGACTAACTATCTAAATGCTACGACTGGTTATATACTTTCTTTAATAACTATTCGTCATTTATGTAAATTGAAAATTTTTAGTTTAGTTTTTTTGCCTCAATTATCTATAAACTTTTTGGCTTTGTCTCTTATCGATCGTTTTGCTTGTACATGTAGTTTAACATCATCTATAAGACATATTCGACGTTTAAAAATGGTACCATGGATAATCGTTATTACTATTATTATTAGCGGTGTTAGTTCACTGTACTCATTTATCGACTATGATGTTGTACCCAATTTGGGATGTATATGTACAAATCGACTTTTCAATGCTGTTTCATATATTATTATTCATGGTTTTACAACACCATTTGTAATGTTAATATTTGTATTACTTACTTATCGGAATGTTAAACTAAGTCGTCATCGAGCAGTAAATTTATTACTATTATTTTTTATTAATTCGAAAATGTTTTTACTTTGTTTTTTTTTCTTAGGGTTTAAAAAAACTTGTAAACATAGATCGATCTCGAAATCCATTTATTCGAATGATTTTTACTCAAGTTTTCACAACAAGTTTCTTAACATTACAATGGATTATTTTTTATATCTATCACTTGATCGTTGTAGATAATATCAAGAGTGATGAACAACAAATTCTTCATTATTTTGTTTGGTATGTTAGTAATAATATCTATTATCTTATTAATGTTAAATCATTTTATCTTTCTACTTTAACATCACGCTCATTTCGAAAAACGTTTCTTGACGCTTTATTTCAATTGTTATCTTGTTGTCGACAACGACAAAAGAATAGAGAATTTTCAGAAAGATTAACTAATGGTTCTTCAAAAAATAAAGCAGATGAAAAGTCACAATATGAAATGTAAACAATATTTATATAGAATTTTATTAAAATTCATGTCTGCTTTTTTTTATACCATTTATCTATTTATTTTATTTACGCATTCCATTAAATGAATAATTAGATAAAAAGTTTTGACGTCAAATTTTATATTATGCTCATTGAAGTGAAGACTATTTTGATTAAAGTCTATTGTGTCATATTCATTAGATTCAATGTTGCGTTTCTAATGATTAATATTTATTGAAATTATCAATGCTTGAAACAACAACAAGCTTTATTTAGAAAAAAAAAACAGCTATCGACATATATAACATTCTATTAGTTAAAATAAATGAGTTGGTATTCAATCATGTTATTGATAACGCGTTATGAATTCTGCTTACTATTTTGTTTTTCTTGAATTTGATGTGAATTTATTTATAAAATATAAATATTTAAAGGTAACGATAAAAGTTGTGTTAAATAAACCAAAAGAAGAAAAAAAATTCATGATAAAGATGATAATTATTTTTGAAATCAAATAAATAATTTGCATTTAAAAACTAAAGACTGAAATAAAAAAAAGCCTACGTTAGAACTATTATTAGATGAGATTTGTTCAAGATCTTGACACCTGTCGATTGTAAACAGTGGCTTTTGAATTAATTAATCATTGATAACATAATAGATACATTTTCCATAGAGAAACTTGAACATATAATTATAATAATAATAATAACAACAATAGAAATTTTGCAGTTTCATTTAATCCTTTAATAAAGGGAATTTTCGACCTTCAATTAAAACAGTCATCATCAGCTATATATAAGACATCACTTGTGACCTTAACTTTTTTTTGCCTATTTTGATAATAATAATGAAACGACAAACAATAACTGCTAGAAAATGAAAAAGATATAGCACGAAACAAACATAAATTAATCCATAAACATAAAAATTTATTATTATGATATTAGTTGAAATATGATTAAATAGCATAGAAAAATAGAGCATTCTTTTCTCTATCAGACTATATAGAAAAAAAAGTTTTTTTGGAGGTTTCTATAAGGAACTGTGATACTTTCACCACTACTTTTGGACTGACCTAAGTATTATAGTAGG